ATTTGACCCACTTCTCAATACCCAATAGATTTGAAATGTTGCATAGACATGTAAGTCAGATGACAATGCAATATTGGTATTGATGAAGTCCGACTTTATGAGGATTTTGGTACTGAATGCCATTCAGACCAAGGTGTAGTGATGATGGAGCTGAAAGGTGGTCAGAGACAGTCAGTATTAAGAAATCACACGATTAAAAACAAACTCTAATTCAACGTGATAATAAATAATTTACTTTAACATGAATTTTGAACTGTCACGTGACTGTGCAGCTTGTATACGGGGATACCAAAAGGGAAAAAATATTTTAAGATTATGCACATTTTAAAAAATTAGGGACATCATTTTATGTGCGAACTATTAAGATTACATTTTGCTGTAACCAAGTGAATAGTAAAAAAACTAAGAAAACTTAATGATAAACTCTATCATATGTCTGTGGAGTAATATAATTAAGCGAGGGAAAGTGTACAATTTTTCTTACTGGTATCATTCCGATTGTGCAAATTAGTGATGAGACATAATATTAGTCGATAAAATAAGAGCTTTAAATTTTGTTATGAAACAGTTAAATGTAATAAATAACTAACATGATCATTACAATAATAAATTGCTCATAGCCATGTTTGATTTTCTTTATTATTCTAAGTTTTATATCTGTAATAATAATAGTACCTACATTATTAATTGCAAGAGCTGGACAATAAGGAATCGCTGGTCAAGTATGAGTTTGAAAGCCGAGACAAAAAAAGTTTAAAGACAGACACAAAAGCGATAAGTACGTACAAAAGTCAATCTACATATAAAGTGACATCCGTTTGAGACATGCGTCTATAAACTTTTGTGCAAATATGGAGCAATAAAAAAATTGATAAAAGCTGTTCTGTGGGCGATTGTTTGAAGTGGCTATCTTAACTCGATTTCTATAAGAATGGTTTCCGATTTTGAATCAGCATAATGAAGTAAATTAAATTCACGCCTATAAATTAATTTTGTAAATTAAATTCACACCACCAACAATATAACGTAAGTTGAAAACATGATTTTTTATTTGTGTTGATATTATGTTGTTTTTAAAGTCATTCGATAGGATTAGGTCTAAAATGGATATGGCAAAATAAATTATGTAAACAGGGCAATCCGTTGTAAAGTTATTAGGGAAACTGCAATATAAGTAATGCAAAATAAGTGAAGTCCAGTTTCACCAGTTTCTAATAAGACCTATTAGGCCTACTCTCTTAGCTTTTACGAAGTTTCGTTTGATTAATGTATTGTTCATAAAACATTGATATACTTAGTAACTTAAATATTTATAGCACATTAGTATTTTTTAATATTTATTTGCGTGTAAATAATTAACCGAATCTAAAAAAAAAAGTGCCTCGATAGTACATTATTTCATCTATTCAGTATCAGTTCATCTATTATTTTCCCTTATAAACAGTGTTATTTAGTTTTAAATAATTATGGCATATACTTATCCATAACGTTGTTATGAAATGATGAAAGAAAAGCTCTAAATAAATATGTTTTATTTATCGATTACGATCCATATAATTAACCGTATTGGTTCCGAGTAGCAGCAGCCTATCGTTACATTTCAGACAAATGGAGGCACAGTAACATTGATGTTAGTTTGAGCAATCAATGTATATTTTATTTGACATTGTGTCAAATTATTACATTTTTTATATTTTAACAGTAAAATTGTACTTACCAGTGAAAGGAAATGTTTGCATTAGTTAGATTATATACTTGACTTTGCTTTTTGCGAGTGATAATAGCACAAAACGGCATTTTTTATAGAAAAAGTCTGTAAAATCACACTCAACAATTGACGAACGACTGGCAAACATAAAACCGAGGAAAGGGCGTCATATGAGTAAAGCGCATATGCCAGCCACGCGTGACGCGCCCGCTTACTACTTCTAATCTCTCTCTATGTTCTGTGGAATAACCTATTTAAGTTCCTCATTCGTGTGTGATATTAACAGCTATTTGTATCTTTTGATAACTAAATATATAAACATGGAAAAACATCTTGCAATACAGATGCTATGTCAGAAATGTATAGGGAATGCAATACCACGAGATCTCGCCAATTAAGTACGAGATCTCGTGAACTTGAAACTTTTGTGTATTTACTGTTTTATTGTAATATTTAAGAAAAAATATAGGAATTATAGTTATTATGAAATATATATTTATTTTTACGGGTATTTTCAAAAAAGTTTTGTGTCTTTAACATTGTTTGAGGCTATATTTTTTTTTATCAAAAAGTAGTTCTAATTGTAGTAACTGTATTATAATTTCGGAAACAGCTCAATAATTTTTTATGAAATTAAGTATTTTATAAAAGTGCCGAGTAAAAGCTTAATCGTGCAGGTACTAATCTTTTAAGAAACTTAACTTTGACGTATCTTATCAAATACGAATGAAATAAACAACCAGTCTTCTCTGCTAATATCAAACAAAAGTTTAATTATAATACACAGTTTTTTATAACAAAAAAAATCCCAAAATAAAACTCACAAACTAAGTTGAATTTACTATTAAACTAAGGTTATTATCAATGAAAGAAAACTATGTGTACCCAGAGTTCTATTAGAAAATAGAGAATAAATACCAAAATATGCCAAACAATTTAAAGGCTTATTCAGTTCACTTCATACGTCATTATTACCAATAATTTTGAAAGTAGCTTCTTTAAAAGCACAAAATGTCCAAAGAATATTTGCTATTTGTCTTATTATTGTGCTGACCAGTTAACCAGCTACTGAGAAGACCCTTTCGAAAACATAAGTACTGTAAAAGTGCAAAACTTCGCCTTTTAACCCCCCGGACTGGCATAAATTCGCGTTGCCGCACTTAGAATAAATCGATTTTATGCTCGAGTACAATCTCGTGAAGCTCGCGAGATCTCGCCCATTTTTCGACCGAGATCAATTTCCTAAAAAAGGTGATTGCATTCCCTAGAAATGAGACAAATGATTTATTTTATAAATGAGACTAAACTTAAAACTATGGGTACGCTAATTAAATCGGAATCGAGGAAATACTTTTTTTATCGTGCTACAAACTTTTTAAGTCAATTACTGTTAAAGAATATTTTGATTATAAGTACTTTAACATTAACGTTATGAACATGTCTTACATAAAATTATTATTTACATTTTAGTGAGCACAAATGTAGCTTATTTAAAAAGCCTTTTTTTACCAATATTAGTATAGACTACATATTGAGTGATCTAAACGCGAAAATCAAAAATATACGATAGATAATTTGTTTGTTAAAAATGATTATGAAACCACACTACTATTGCTCGATTATGTGGTAAACCACAGAGCACAGAAACCTCTTTCTGTGTTATGTGAGGTAGGTACACCATAAATACCTCTTTATTCCGAAGAACAACAATAAGCTGACACTTGAACATAAAAGGAATAGGACAAGACATCGACGGCGGTTCGTCACTTCTCCATTTTGAGGATGTAGATAAATTGCTCATATCTGATTCGACGTGATTTACGTCGTTAATTAATTTTAGTTTACGTCGTTACTTTTTTTTTGATCACATATCCTCTAACCGACCTTTGCAAAAATTGCTTAAAAACAACGATCGCGGGCCGCGGCCACAGTACAAATATACAAGTAGGTACGCCCGAGACACGAGCGAGATATAATAGCCTAAACATGTAGGGCTGTCGCTTAAAAGTTATTCAATCATCAGAAATGTGCGAGGTAGACCTGCTCATGTGTACTTATGGAAAAATAAGAAAAAAATTATATCTTATTAATCTTTTTTATTATAAAATAAAATTCGAAAATTTTCGAAAGAGTTGTAGCGAATAGTAGTGCTACTTAGGTATCCGATACCAAAAAAAGATTGAACATAATTGAGAAGTTGTGGTCGTGGTAGTTGAAAATATCATAAAAGGTGTAAATTTTCGAAGATTTTCGAATTAAATTTTATAATAAAAAAGATTAGATATAATTTTTTTCTTATTTTTCCATAAGTACACATGAGCAAGGGTACCTCTTGGCGCCCGCTTATCGTTGAATTTTGGGACACGTTGTATATCCAATTTTTGCCAAATAATTAGGCTATGAATAAAATAATATAATGCCGATCTTAATTTTTATTAACACATATGTATATATTTAATAAAATAAACTACAAATTGATATCTGGTAAACGAAATCTTGAACAGAAATAATTGATAAACACTTCCGATGGGTAAATAATTATAACACATAATTATAATTACTTATGATATATAATATCATATAAATTACTCGAATAACTAAAGAACGAAATACCATATAAATAAAAATGTGAAATACCATACAGCGTGGTCCAGACAGCGACGCCAAAATTTTTTTTTAATTCCTCTTCCCTAGGGGTACCCGAAAACCCCCATGTATGTTCCGTATGTTCCGCGATGTTTTGTAGTTTTCCAGATATGATTTTTTTAATGATTTCATAGGAAATTTCGATAGTATTTACTTAAAAAAAAATAAAAGTAAAAACCTAATGGCTTTTTTATGATTTTTCTTTTCTAAAACATAATATTCATAAATGGCCCTTTCACATGCATAACAGTTAACCTCCTAGCATCGCTGCATGTTGCGATAATTTTGATCTAAAGTGAATAATTTACATTTTAGCGAGCTAACATTAAATTTTCAGCTTCAATTTAAAAATGGTTAAAGTAAGTTTAATAGCTTCTAATCAATTTTAAAAACTTCACTAGACTTTAAGCTTTCTGAAAAGTACAAAAAAGTCTTTAAATGTAGCGGGGTGAAATTTTCACCAATCAAATAATTTGAATCTTATAACAATTATTTCAAGTAAGAAATGTCTAAAATTATCATTTCATTCATCCTTGGTATCAGTAATTAATGTTTTCAAGCACTAGAATTTTAAAATTGAATTATTACATTATTGCATAGTTATAGAATACTGAGAAAAAAAGTTAAAAATGTTGCGTACGAAAGGATGACTCATCCAACCAGTTTTAAAAAGTTTTTACCTGCCCCCCTCTCAACCCCGTGGGGCGGGGTTACGCCACGCCGCGTGCCGCCACGCCGCGCCGAGCCAAGGCGACCCAATGAGGCCGGCATTGAGGAACAGTCGTTCGCTCGTTCGCTTCAACTTGCTAGTGTTACTACTGTTCTGTTCACATTTTGTTTCCTCTAATTTCTATTACTTTAGCGCGTTACCTGGACTTCTGATTTGCTTTACGATTGACCTGTGCCTGTGTTTCGGACTCTGACTGCCTTGTAATTTTGATTAAAGTTATTCTGCATAATGCTTTATTCACTTAGTGAATACGCAGAGATGCATTATTATTATGGCGTTGCGAAAGGCAATGGCCTATTAGCTGCGAGACTCTATCAAGAACAGCTACAGCGGCGAGGGAAAGTACGAGAGCATTACCCGGACAACAGAGTTTTCATCAATACTCACAACACTCTGATGGCTAGTCAAATTCTTGAAGGCAATCGCGAAGGCATACAGAGAGTAGATCCAGATAGAAGGGATATGGTATTAGAGGAAGTTGAAAATCGTCCATTTACAAGCTCTAGGAAAATAACGAGAAGAAATGAAATACTGCGGACTTAAGTTTTAAGAATTTAGAAATCAGGTGAGCATGTTTTTTTTTTACTTAAAAGTTACGTTGTTAAGTTGCTAAAGTTGAGCTGGAGAAATAATGCTAGTCATGGAGTAGGATAATTCTGTCATCCCATGGAGTTTTCCTTAGGTTCAATCATGTTTTCCCTTGTATTGTAACTTTTGGAAAACCCTAAATAAATAATATAATTTCATTTTCGTCCCGTTGTCGTGACGTTTATTTTTGTCATAAAGTTTGATTTTTATTTTTCAGAGGCCTACCATGCCTACCACATTCAACGCGTGTAACAGCTACAGCCGAGAGACTATCCCCGGCGAGTCACTTTCTGCCAAACAATGCTGACCAGATCTCAAGAAGACCCTGATTTTTTCGAAAAATTCTCTGAACAGACGAATCACGGTTCGAGAGGACGGGAGTATTCAACATCCACAATTATCATACTTGGGCTGTAGAAAACCCACACTCTGTTAGACCCTCAAATTTCCAACACCGCTACAGCGTCAATTTATGATCTGGAATCATCGATGGGCAGCTTATTGGACTTTTTGAGCTGCCAGAAAGGCTAATCGGTGCAGAGTATTTAAATTTTCTACAGAATCATTTGTTAGAAGACGTAGCTCTTGGAACGAGACGAGGAATGATTTTACAAAACGACGGTGCTCCTTGCCATTATGCAAGAGAAGTAAGGCAGCATCGCAACCAAACCTTTCCAAGGAGGTGGATTGGGCATGCCGGGCCAATTGAATGGCCTGCACGAACCGGGCCTAAACCCCATAGACTTTTCCTATGGGGATATTACAAAGAAGTTGTTTATGCGCGTGAGACAAACTCCGAAGCAGAGCTGCGTCAGAAATTGCGTGAAGCAGAAGAACAAATAAAGGAAAACATAAATGCTTTCATAAATTTAAAACAAAATTTTTTGAGGCACTGTAGGTTATGCATTGAAGTGGGAGGCAGATATTTCGAAAATTTATTGTAATAAATGTCTTTTTTTAAACTTGTTTTCATTGTTTCATTTTAAACCTAAAAATTATACAAAATGTAATGTACTTTTACATTTGAAGAAGTTTAATTCATTAGAAGCTATGAAACTTACCTTAACCATTTTTAATATAAAGCTGAAAATTTAACTCTTGCTCGCTGAAATGTAATTTATTCACTTTTGATCAAAATTATCGTAACATGCAGCAACGCTAAAAGGTTAACTGTTATGCATGTGAAAGAGCCGTTTAATAAGATTATGTTTTAGAAAAAAAAAATCATAAAAGAGCCATTAGGTTTTTATTTTTAATTTTTTAAGTAAATACTATCGAAATTGTCTATAAAATCATAAAAAAAAATCATATCTCGAGAACTACAAAACATCTCGGAACATACATGGGGTGTTTTCGGGTATCCCCAGGTGGGAGCAATTCAAAAAAACTTTGACGTCGCCGTCTGGACCTTAACATCACCATTATATACTATACAATATTTTGACTAGTTTTCAAATTTATCTTGTCCACAATTTTATAACGAGCGGCAGTACAGCGACGCGGAATATACGCAAGCACGGGTACTAGTCACGACTGGCGAGTTGCCACTCGTGCCTTAAACTCCTATAACTTCGATAATTTTGTAAGTGTATGCGTGCGACGCCACATACGCACGAGCACGTTCACATACACACTATTTTCCGTACATATATATGACAGACTTGCCGAGCTCAGCACAGACTTCGGCTACCAATATCCGGTCACCCATTAGTCCTAACAGTAGAACTGGATCAAAAGATTATTAATATTATGTGATCCAAATGAGGATCGGATTTGCTACCAACTTCAGGGCTTGTCTGTCATTTAAGTAGTGACAGCAAAGACATTTAAGTTCGTTAAATATTTTTGGATTTGTCATCCGTAATATCATAATGATAATCGGACATGATATCATGCTGATCTTATTTTGTAATTCTTACTAGAAGATTTTTAAACTTGATATAGATATAGAGCCAGAATAGGATTATTTTTTTGTACATTTGGTAGTTTGGTATCCAAATCGTTTCTGACGCGCATCTTCTGTACCTACGAGTTCTATATCATTGACGGGATCATTTATTTTGTCTTGTTGTCTCTTTCTTTTGTCTTCACATATACAGGTTTCAGTCTACATTGGTTAAACGGCGCTCCATATGTATTTTTGAACACCTATCCACGGGGCTCAAATTACAACTCCCCTTAGCAAATACGATTTCCCTTTAATCTCCCTTAAGATGGGTATATATAATTGTAACTTTGATCGTCTTACTGTCATGAATGACGTTTGTATATCCCAGGCGAAATGAATATCCCCACTTTGATCATGCCAGAATATTATATAAACGTGTACTAAGAATGTATTAAGGGGAAAACGTTTGTATGAATTTATTTTGTTTTTGGACCTTATATCGATGAAAATTTTGGTAATTTAAGACGTTATGAAGGTCATAAGTTATATTTTATCCCGAAAACGAATACTTAAAGAGATGAAAATGGGAGTGAAAGTTTTTATGGGGAATCAAAATGTTACCATAGCAACCATTTTTTACAATTTGATTTGTCATTGTAATAAGTGTATAGAATATTGTATATAAAAAATTCCTAATATAATGATAAAAATTGACATTTGAGTGCATAATTGATAACAAAAATAACATTTTTAATTAACATTTTTGAAAATATTCTAGTACAAATCATTTTATATACGGATGATAACACAAACTATAGTTTTTGTGCTATACTAAATGGCGTTATGTATACTTCGTCATCGCACTGTTTCAGATTGAGTTTTCAAATAAAATTTAGTAAGAACTTTAGGCTATGCTATACTGATGAGCAGCTCGGTGCGTAGTGAATAAACACGATCTTCTGTCGCGATCTTTGTTGTTAAGCAACTTTCGCAAGGATCTGTCACGGGATGGGCGACCAAAAAAAAATTATTATCACAAGCTACTCCATGATTCGGAAGACACGTTATGCCTTTGGTTGTACTAACGCTCTGTAGAAGGACGTTGTGATAGTTACTCAAGTGGTCGACGTTTAGCCGTGCAAATGAATGGCGCCATTCTATTATAAGGCTAGTCGCCTAATTGCACGGATCTTTTACCCAGTTATCTGCGACATAACTTTTAATTTCAATTTTAACAGCTGTGACCTTAAAAGTCGACCATGCAATCGTGATTCATATTCTTCTTAGTCTATTTATTTCGGTGACTGTGAAAATAAGACGTTATATTAGAAAATATCTCAATACGCATATCCATTGATCGAAACCAGACTTTCTGATTTACTTGGGATTTAGCTTCTGTGCTAATCGTATTAAGGCTTGATGACTTGTTAACATATTAGTTTCCAATAGTAGAAAAATATGTCTAAAAACTCTACAACAAATTAACTCATATATTGTCCAGTTCCGGCCCGCACGAGTTTATTCAACATCTCAGTAATTATTATTTTATACAAAATCTCATTGAATCACATTTGAAGCTTTTCCATTGGTAAAAACTGTATGAAAATCTATTCATTAGTCTTTGACTTTACTATATTCAGACGGTCATAAAGATGCAAGGGGTATTCAAATTATATGTAATGGCATTACTCCAACGGGAATAAATAGACAATTTCCAGTAACTAAATATACTTCACGGTATGGGCAAAATTATTTTTCATGTAATTCTTCAGCGCGTTTCAAACTTATTAATGTTATTATATATACTGTAATTTATAAAAAGTGCCCCATAGAGCGCGATGACGCATTGTGACACAATCTTAAAACTTCTATAAAATGAAAATTTGTATCCATAATGTTACATTAAAGTAATGACAAATTTAATGGATGGTGGTGCAACTGATACCCAGTTGCTCAACCATCCATTAAGGTTTACAAACGACTTTAAGCTCTATCTGATGAATGTTGCAAATTTTTTAAATTTGTATCGTTAATGTCGATTTAAACTTATGACCATTGTGCAACGCGCACTGAGTGTTAGAACACACTGCACAGATGATCTGTCGCATACTAACTCATATTACCATGAGACTTTTGACTGATTTTCTGTCAGATTTGCACCGACCCTTGTCTGTTTTAAGGTCGACAAACGTACATAAATCTGATTCATAAGGGCAGCCATTATTCTAACGTTTACTATTCAAAGCCGAGCACAACCTTTTTTGCAAACACGATAACTGTCCAAAGGAATTTCATTATGTAGGCCTTATAACCCATAATCCAAACCCAACAATGAATGACGGTTGGAATTCTTCGTAAAACTGACATTATGTTACACATCATCGTACCTCTTGACGTGCCTTAGTATCTGTCTACGAAATTTTCTTAAACATTTAGGATGATAGGTAGAAATGTCGAGCGGTCAGTATGCTTATTTCTATATTATTCTAATTGGGGTCCTGAAATACCTGAAGAGGGCAAATGGTAAAACAGTCTATGATTTACCAAATGTCGACTTCAGCAGTAAGAGCAGTTCATATTCTCGGATGCTACCTGACGCAAATTGACCATAATACGATATGACGTGAGGGCCTATTCTATTTGTCCTCGAACGAAAATTTCAAAAATGTAGAATCTTCCTTATAATTTTGTTAAAATCATAAACGTAAAGATTATTTGTGCATCAGATGCAGTATCTGGTCTTACTTCTGTTCCTACATAAATTACCTATAGAAAAATGCGTTTCTTTGTAGTCGTATTTATCACAAGCCCCTTAATGTAGTGTTAATAACTGCAGATACAGCCAGGACCGACGGCTTAACGTGCCTCCCGAAGCAAGGAGGAGTTCGACATAATATTTTTTTGATCACCCATCCTGCAAATGGTCAGTACGAAAGTTGATTAACAACCGTTTCACAGACCGAACGTTCTAAACAAAGCGCTACCGAGCTCCCGAGTTGTCTTATTAGCATGTCTAAAATAGACAAAATTACGTGTTGCGACGCAGCGGTGGCGAGGAGAACGACAA